TGGGATTACAGGCTTGAGCCACCGCGCCCGGCCAAGACTCTGTCTCAAAAAAAAGAAAGCAGTTCTAGAGTAATTGTGACTGATGACAGTGGAGTGATCGATGTTGATTCCCCGAATAGTGAGGACAGCGAAGACAAGTGTTAATGACATCTAAGGCTAGGGGTGTTGCATGGGTTGACCACAGTGAATACTGAAGGAAAAGGGGGGATTTTGAGTGGAGAGGAAGACTATGAGGCAGAGTGTGGAGAAGACTCCAAGAGTAAATGCACGAGTTAATGGGGGAAGGGTGGGAAGGTGAGAGAGGTCAAGACTGTTCCTACAGATACACACTTAACCTGCAGACTCTGCAGCTGAACTTCCGGGTTTAGAATCTTGGTTCTGTTACTCAGTAGCTGTGACACCATGCACAGGTTATCTGACTCCTCAGCAGAGGTTTAGATCCTGAAGTCAAGAGTGTGTGACATTTGAATCTGGGAATAAATAAGACCATTTATGGGGAAGTGCATAGAGGGGTAAAAAGGAAAGATCCCAGAGCAGACTGTTGAAGCGTGTGGATTTTTCAGGAAGAAGAGGGTGACATTAGACGCCGGGCAGGTTCACAAGGGAATGGAAAGAGAAAACAGCAGGTTGAGATTGGGGGTGGTATTTTAGAATTGGAGCTTTTAAGATTTAAGCACTTCCTGGAACGTTCTGATGTCTCCTCCTACTGATTCTGAAGCTCATTCTCAAGCTTATGGTCACTCAGGCATGCATGTGTAGCACGAGCTTTGCAGCCAGTCACTCTGGGAACATACACTGATATCACTGTTATAAATTCATCCGCTCTGGTCTTAACCTTCTAAATGAAACCTGCCTGTTATCCCCTGAACTCTTTCCAAAACATGTCCCAGAACATGGCCCCCATGGCGCTGGACACACACACTTAGCACTCAACTAAGTATTGCCTTTCATGGGGCAGTTCTCTTTACAGTAGCTAAGGTATGAGGGTATGAGTGGAAAGTGGTTGCTATGTAGCTTCATTTCTTTTTTCTTTTCCTTTTTTTTTTTTTTTTTTTTTTGAGAGAGAGTCTTGCTCTGTCACCCAGGCTGGAGTGCAGTGGCAGTCTTGACTCACTGCAACCTCCACCTACCGGGTTCAAGCCATTCTCCTGCCTCAGCCTCACAAGTACCTGGGACTACAGGTGTGCGCCACCACGCCCAGCTAATTTTTGTACTTTTAGTAGAGTCAGGGTTTCACCATGTTGGCCAGGATGGTCTCAATCTCTTGACCTCGTGATCCACCTGCCTCAGCCTCCCAAAGTGCTGGGATTATAGGCATGAGCCACTGCACCCAGCCATAGCTTCATTTCTACCAAATGCTGGACTGAGGAATCCACCAGAAACTAGATAATGGCAGGTTTACTTGGGTGCACTATGACAAAGTAAATAAACTCATAGAAAAAAATAATCAAAAAACTCCAAGATCTGCTCATGCTTGGTTTGATAGCATTTTTGCGTGTTTGAATCCAGGTGCTTTGACAGCAATGACTTTGCTACACCATGCTTTATTTATATTGAGGTCCAAGTCAAATGGCAGTTTTACCTTCACTTTATCAAATCTCTGCTGCCATAGAACTTGCTCTCCCTCTCCATTTCCCTCACTCTCTCCCTGCTCCCTTCCCACTGAAAGCTTTGTGATTTAAAAAGATACTGAGGCCGGGTGAGGTGGCTCACACCTGTAATCCCAGTACTTTGGGAGGCCGAAGCAGGTGTATCACCTGAGGTCAGGAATTCAAGACCAGCCTGGCCAACGTGGTGAAACCTCATCTACACTAAAAATACAAAAATTAGCCAGGTGTGGTAGCAGGCGCCTGTAATCCCAGCTACTCAGGAGGCTGAGGTAGGAGAATTGCTTGAACTCAGGAGGCGGAGGTTGCAGTGAGCCGAGACTGCGCCACTGCACTCCAGCCTGGGTGACAGAGTGAGACTCCATCTCAAAAAAAAAAAAGAAAAAAGGTAATGAGTAGGGAAGGGCTTTTGAAGGAGGAATGGCTGATACGGTAATTCTGCTTATCACCATTTATATTTTTAACTTTTGTGCCTCAGTCTGGCCCTGTTCACACCCCTGAGACCAAAGGAAGAAAGGTATGTTAGCAGCTTTCAGCCCTTCCCTCTCTGATCCCCAGACAAAAGATGTGGGGGCCATCACCACCACCGTGCCTTGCCCAGGTGACTTGGTCATTGAGCCCTGGAATGATAAAGCTGGAAGGGGCAAAACTCATCATCTCTCTCCCATTGAATAACTGGTGTCTGCAGTTGATGATGTTTTTGGAGATACCTAGAAATAGATCAAACAAAGGCAATAGAACCAAATTATTTAACTCTTTTTATTAGACAGTTCAAATTAAGCTTGAAGAACAAGAAGCAATACAACTCAACTATTGAAATATAAATAGTTGAGCTTAATTTATTCAACAAAATTTACCCAATATATCAGTGTACAAAGCATGCTGCTGGGCTGGGCATCAGGCGTGGCACAGCGAACAAGACAGACTGACTCACCCCTCAGGGGGCTTACATTCTAATGCGGAAAGCAGATAATTTCAGTTTGGATACATAATACAAATTATCAAAGCAAGGCGCCAAGTATTTTAAAAATAAGGAGTTCGGGAGGCAAGTATCTGACCTATTCTATAGAAGGACTCCTTAGGGAAGTAACAGTTGAGCCAATCTAAGGATGCTAGATATTCGCTAGGTCAGTGGAAAAAAATCTGTGGTTCTCACTATGGTCAGTGGGTTGTTGGTGGTTTCATAATAACTGGGGACTACTCCCGGCACTGAGTGGATGCAGCCAGGGAGAATGATGTCCTGCAGTGTGTGGGTTAGTGCCACACAACGAAGAATTATTCTGTACCCTGTACGACTGTCTAATGTCCTGCTGGACATTTATGTAGGACCTACAGCTTGTCCGAGAGAGTAACTGATTTGTTTTCTCTGAGACAATCTGTAATTTGTCTTGTCCTATTATCTTTAAGTAAGGTAACTTCGCTCTTTCTTTTCCCATACACAGATTATGTATATGGTCTGTTTTGACTTTACCCTAACACTGGTTTTCATTCTAGTGTCCCCCATCCCTCTAGTTTCATTTTCCTGTACTTGTTTACAGGAAGTAGCCGCTAATCGGCTCTTAAATCCAAACCTACTCATTACAAGGAAGAGTAAACATCTGTCTGTTTCAAACAGCGGAGTCATGCCTGAGCATTTACATAATGAAATTCATCTTCTTTTCATTATAAATTTCTTCTTTTCTATTTCTCCTTAATAAGAGAGTTAGGGCATTAAATTGATTTTTTAAGAAATTCATGTGTGTAAGTAGATTGTATTATCTATGAGTCATTTCAGGACAGCAAAGAGAATGTTACAAAATATCTGCTCTGAAAAGGGTGAATAGATCTGATAGGGTTTGTGGTTGTCACCATGACTGGGCGTGGGGGTGGGTGCGCTACTAGCATTTAGTATGTGAGAGCCAAGTATGCAGAACATCTTGCAATACATTGGACAGTTCCTCACAATAGGAAATTATTCTGCACCCTATACGAATTTTGAATGTCTCACCAGACATTCATGTATGACCTATAGTTCGTCTGCAAGAATATATCCTCACTTTCTCCACTTCGACAATCTGTACATTTTCTTGCATAGTATCTTTATTTCAATAAAGGTTATTTCGTTCTTTCTCTTATATACAAATAAGTATTGTCATATGCAAAGAAGTTACTGTATCCCTAGTTTTTATTCTAATGTCCACCCGTATCCCTGCTTTTACATTTTCCCGCATATGGTCTGATCTCCTACCTTCTAAGTTCAAATTGATGCATTATAAATAGTTGTAAGCATCTGACTACTTCATTAGGTCTTCAATTACAGTTGTACCCAAGTTAGGTACCTTTTTTTTCCTGTTTATGTTAATATTAGTTTTATTTAATTTTTAATTTATTTCTAAAATTGTGTGTAGGTGGAGCATATTACCTCTGAATTGGATTTGGAGGATAATAAAGAAGATGTATTTGTATTTGTCATTTAGAAAAAAAAAGGCAGAAATGCCCATTGAGAACCACTGAACTAGCTAAAAATGGGAACCACAAAACTGAAAGAAAGCCAGAGTGGCTTGTGCAGAAGAAACTAAATGATAGAGGGGTAGGGGAGGGAGAGATCACATGGGGCCACGACAGCGGTTTTGAACTTTATCCTGAAGACTTGATTTATGTTTTGCATGTGCATTACTAAGTAAATTTTAAAAAATATAACCTTCTTGCTCTAAAGAAAACACAGCAAACAACTTAGAAGGGGAACAGAGATATTTAAGAGGTAAAACTAGATTTAGAAACTGCTTAGATGTTTATCAGGAGGGAGAGGAAGGAGTCAAAGATGACTTCCGGATTTCTGCTTGAGCCAATGGGTAGATGGTGATGCTATTCACTTACATACAGATCCTGGGAGAGGAACAGATTCATGTGAGGGAAGTAGATGGAGAGTTCCACTTTGGACATGTTGAATCAAAGATGCCTGTGAAATATTCAGCTAGTGGTGTCTAATGGGCTGTTGGAAAGAGTTGGACAAACTGCGCCCCTACAATGTGAGGGTCGAGTTCAGAAAATGAACGCTCCAAAACGAAAGCTACCATGAAAGAAATAAGTCAATGAGAATAAGCATTTGTGGTAACCCTCCCAGCAAATAACTCTACTCTAAAAAATCTCTCTCTAATTTTTTTACTGGTGGAGCCGTTTAAGCCAAGGAGTTTGGAGATCTCTGTGAGGATCCAAAATCTGACTAATATAAAATCAACTCTGATGCTAGTGAAATCTGACTTATAACATGTCTGCTAGAAGAAATTACTATAGGAAACTTTAGTGACTGGTAAGGAATGTTGAAAAGGGAAAATCAGAAGGAAAAAGCTGGTTTATAAGAAGGAAGGAAATATTGGTCCAAGCACGTCAAGGGCTCTAAGTGAAAACCGATGGTACTACAATTCCATATCATCCATTACATTTGGAAAAAGAAGCTCCTGGTAGGCACAGGGCCTCTTTGGGATATTGTTCTTTGTTCTGATTCTGTGCTCACCAGGAAACAAATGTCATTCCCGTCGGGGGCCCGTCCTTCAGTAGGAACGGCCCTGCTCCTAGGTTCTTGGCTCATTTGCCAAGACTACAATAGCACTCGCATTTATCAGTTATGCTTGTGTGAAGCTGGTTATTGCAATTCATTGTTCTCAAAATACTTTCATGAAAAGCCTGACCCGAGAAAAAGCCTTCTCTGTAATCATATTAATTAGAACATAAATGTCTACTTTGCCATAATTATACAAAGAGCCCAAATGGGCAATTAACTCTAGTTGGTTGCTTCTCTCTGAGCCATACTTGCCAGCTCTTATTACCGCATTCCAGAGAGAGTCAACCTGGATGGAGTTGGTCCCCTAAATAAATGTAGCGATAAAGAAATGGGTGCTCCAAATCAGTTTCATCAGAATGATGAGGTACAGTACTGCAGCTATGTCTGCAATAGCATTTCAACTTTACTTTTCTTTCCCTAGCATGTCCTTAAGCATTTTCTTCCCAGTTTTTCATAATCTTTCTTCTAAAGCTGTAATGTCTTATATCCTTAATAGGCATGTTTAGATTTCTCCCAAATTTTCCAAATTAACTTTCTTTCAACGTAACCAAAACAAAACCATGGCATACAGTAAACTAAAAGGGTAGACAGGAGGGAAAGGTTGCTGCAATTACAGAAAATTTAGAAATCAAACTTTACCCGTTACATCTGAGACAAGACAAACTTTCCAACACATTGGAATCATCAGAAGGACTTTAAAAAATACGACTGCCAGCAGGGCGTGGTGGCTTACGCCTGTAATCCTAACACTTTGGGAGGCCAAGGCGGGCGGATTGCCTAAGCTCAGGAGTTTGAGACCAGCCTGGGCAACACAGTGAATTCCTGTCTCTACTAAAAAAATACAAAAACTTAGCTGGGCGTGGCAGTGTGTGTCTGTAGTTCCAGCTACTTGGGAGGCTGAGGCAGGAGAATTGCTTGAATCCGGGAGGCAGAGGTTGCAGTGAGCCGAGATCGTGGCACAGCACTCCAGCCTGGGCGATGGAGTGAGGCTCCATCTCCAAAAAAAAAAAAAAAATACAACTGCCTGTCGCTGAAGCCCAGAAATGATTTCATTGGCATGGGGGGCAACCTGGGCATCAGAATTTGTTTAAAACTTCCCAGATGATTCAAATGTGTAGTGAAGTTTGGGGACCACTGATCTAAGGCATTAGATAACTGGGCAGGAAAATATAAAACTTGAACTCCTGTCTGGGGCAATTTAGTTCTGTAAGGGAAGAGAATGGTTATGGCATCCTTCTGACGCTGTATTCATCGGTTCTAACTAATCACGCAGGGTTTGTCTGCATCAGTATATTCAATCACATATTGTGGGTAAATCTGATCTTTCTCAAAGATGACAAAAACGGAGGGATTCAACCTGGTATCCACACAGCTGTTGTACTGCTGAGGAGGGCTCATGTACGACACATTTCCTTCAATAAAATTTCCAACCAGAACTCGGGCTACAAACATAACGATGTTTTTGGCATCATATGGGCAATTTTTGTGGGAATAGATGGCATCTTTTGCAAAGTAACTTCCTAGAAAGAATCAGAAAGAAAGGTTAAGACATATTATAAAAGAAGGTATGCAGTTTATAAGATTAGTTATACATAGTCAGATGGGCGTGGACTAAGCATATGTCAATAATACCTTACTGATACTTATAAACTTTTCTTTGCACTTAAAAACATGTTCATGATGCAGGCAAACTTAAATACAATATATAACCCTATAGAAATGACTGAGGAATATTTGCTACAGTGCAGAGCTCATGCTGACAGTGTGAACCATTGGGTGCAATGACCAAATGAGAATGACACAGTGGCCCAATTCATGCAGTTCACCCAGTGTGAACTGAATTGAGCCAACTTGGAACTGATGAGTCAGTTGATGCTTTGTCCTCTCTAAAACAACTTCAGATTATGATTGCTGCTTCCATACACAGCAGACCAACAATTTCCTGCCAAGTTAAGATTTTTATTTTTATCATTGTCAAGTGCTACTCTGGGCAGGTGCAGTGACTCATGTCTGTAATCCCAGTATTATGGGAGGTTGAGGCGGGTGGATCACTTGAACCTAGGAATTTAAGACCAGCCTGGGCAACATGGGGAGACTCCATCTCTACAAAAAATTTAAAAATTAGCCGGGCATGGTGGTGTGCACTTATAATCCCAGCTACTCAGGAAGCTGAGGCAGGATTGATTGAGCCCAGGAAGCTGAGGCTGCAGTAAGCTAGAATCACACCACTGCACTCCAGCCTGGGCAACAGAGTGAGACTCTATCAAAAAATACAAATAATATTTTTTAAGAAAGCTACTCTGTCATTTCTTTTTTTTTTTTTTTGAGACGGAGTCTCGCTCTGTCACCCAGGCTGGAGTGCAATGGCGCAATCTTGGCTCACTGCAAGCTCCGCCTCCCAGGTTCATGCCATTCTCCTGCCTCAGCCTCCCACGTAGCTGGACTACAGGCGCCCGCCACCACACCCGGCTCATTTTTTGTATTTTTAGTAGAGACGGGGTTTCACCGTGTTAGCCAGGATGGTCTCAATCTCCTGACCTCGTGATCTGCCCACCTCGGCCTCCTAAAGTGCTGGGATTACAGGCGTGAGCCACCGCGCCCGGCCGGGGCTACTCTGTCATTTTAAAGACCATGAGTAGATATTGCCAACTCCAATTTCCATGCAAGAATCAATAAGTAAAATGAATTTATCTGTGGTAACAAATGTTTAATATACTTTGCATTTACTTTGTTTTTGTTCTTTTTATCATTTTATAGTTAGATGTTTCAATTCCAGAAACATTGCTTATCCTGAATAGGTCAGATACTAGATATTCTGTGCACATAATTTTCTACTATATTTAAAGTGAAATATGGAAGTCTACCTATACTGACCTACCACATCCAATCCCACCCCTCTTCCCAAAACAGTTTATGGCTGGTGGGAATTCTTTCACAACTGTTTCTATGCATTCACATACATATATGTGCATATACTCTAATATAGTTTTATGGTGGTTTATTTGTTCATAGATAGGATCATAATATATGAACTGTTCTATTTGTTCATAGATAGGATCATAATATATGAACTGTTCTACAACTTTTTTTTTCCACTTTAGTCCTGGAAGTCTTACTATGTCACTACATTCAACTCTCTCTCTCTCTCTCTCTCTCTTTTTTTTTTTTTTTGCTGTTGTTGTTGTTGTTGTTTTTGAGACAGGGTCTCTGTCGTCTGTCGCCCAGGCTGAAGTGCAGTGGTGCAATCTTGGCTCACTGCAGGCTTGACGTCCTGGGCTCAAGCAATCTTCCCACCTCAGCCTCTAATTCTAATTGGTGTGAGGCAACAGCTCATTGTGGTTTTAATTTGCATTTCCCTGATGATTAATGATGTTGAGCATTTTTTCATGAACTCATTGGCCATTTGTATTTCTTCTTTTGAGAAATGTCTATTCAAGTCTTTTGCTCATTTTTGAAACTTTTATTTGCATGTATTTTATGCTGAATTTATTCCTGTGCCATAAGTTTTTGCTTCTTCAGTATCTTCTGGGATAGTTTTTTCTTCCGGGCACCTCCTCTTCTGGTTTAAGAACACGGTGTTCTTTTTCAGTGAAGATTGTCTCTATATGGCAGGGGGAGCTCAGGCATGAGTTAATCCAACCATGAGCTCTGGAAGTCAGGTGGCACATCTTTGGTGCTTTGTTCACCTGAATATCCTTGATGACCAGAGAATCTACAGCTCAACCCTTAAGTTCAGCATTACTCTCTGCATTTTTAAGTGTGTACATCAAAAATTCAACTCTTTTTGGGTCACCAACTGTGTGACCAGCCCCACTGTTTGGCCTGGGCACTCCTACCAACTCCACCCTTGGAACGTTGACATGATACACATTGTTTCTATACAGCGACATCTTTCGGACACTTACTGGCTTTTCATATAGGCATACTCTTGATGGCCTGGGCAGTCTCATGGGTGTTCTTAAAGTGAACATGAAGATTTGAACCTCTTTATTTGCATGATTTCATGAAGTTTTCTGGGTCAAGTGAACAGCGAACCATTTCACAGATCACCTCAGGCCACTTATGGGAACAGCTTGCGCATTTTAAAATCGGGTTGTTTGTTCTCTTGCTGTTGAATTGTTTGAGTTCCTTATACATTTTGGATATTAATCCCTTATCAGATGTATGGCATGCAAATATTTTCTTCCACTCTGTGGGTTTGTCTGTTCACTTTGTTAATTGTTTCCTTTGCTGTGGAGAAGCTGTTTAGTTTGATGCCATTTGTCGATTTTTGTTTTCGTTGCATCAGTTTTTTTATAACACACTTATGTAATCTGGAATCTGTATTTTCTTTTTTTAAAATTCCCTTTATTGTGTTAAGAAACTTCATTTCTATTCCTACATTTCTAAGTGCTTTTTTTTTTTCTTTTTTGAGACAGTTTTCCTCTGTAGCTGAGGCTGGAGTGCAGTAGCAGGATCTCGGATCACTGCAGCCTCCCCTTCTTGTGATCAATCAACTCTTGTGCCTCAGCCTCCCGAGTAGCCAGGACTACAGGCATGTGCCACCACGCCTGACTAACTTTGTATTTTTATTAGAGAGGGGGTTTCACCATGTTGGTCAGGCTGGTCTCAAACTCCTGACCTTAGGTGATTCACCCACCTCGGCCTCCCAAAGTGCTGGGATTACAGGAATGAGCCACAGTGCCTAGCCTAACATTTCATTTTTTAGGATAAATATTTGTTTGGATTCTAACATAGGATAGACCTGTAAGAAACTGATGGGTTTTAATTTCACCTGTTATATATCACTCAAGATGGTTACATTTCCCATTTCCTTCAAACACTTCTAGGTAAGTTTCACTGATACATTTAAACTTAATAAACTTATGAAATCTCATCAATAAATTCATTCCCCAGCTTGAAACCTTTCATTAGTTTCCCATGCCCTTACAGTTAAGTTTAGCTCTTTATGGTCATATCTTGTACCACTTCTCCCTTCTCCACTATGTGGTGACTCTACAAGGCAGGGGAATCCTACTCTAGCCCAATCTTTGGGAACACCTCTCTAGCTGGGTTAGCTGTCCACAGGACCTGTTCTTTTTTTTTGAGATGGAGTCTTGCTCTGTCGCCCAGGCTGGTGTGCAGTGGCACGATTTTGGCTCACTGCAACCTCTGCCTCCCGGGTTCAAGGGATTATCCTGACTCAGCCTCCCAAGTAGCTGGGATTACAGGCACATGCCACTGCACCCAGCTAATTTTTGTATTTTTAGTAGAGATGGGGTTTCACCATGTTGACCAGGCTGGTCTTGAACTCCTGACCTCAAGTGATCTGCCTGCCTCAGTCTCCCAAAGTGCTGGGATTATGGGCGTGAGCTACCACACCTGGACCTATTATTTCTCTCTATAGCAGCCCGACATTTGCAATCATTTAATTTTTTTTTTTTTTTTTAGACAAAGTATAGCTCTATTGCCCAGGCTGGAGTGCAATGGCAAAATCACAGCTCACTGCAGCCTCAAACTTCGGGCTCAAGCAATCCTCCCACCTCAGCCTCCTGAGTAGATGAGACTACAGGCATGTGCCACCACGCCCAGGTAATTAAAAACATTTTTTTGTAATTAAAACAAAAAATTAGAGTCTCGCCATGTTGCCCAAGCTGGTCTCCAACTCCTGGGCTCAGCCTCCCAAAGTACAGGAATTACAGGTGTAAGCTACCATGCCTGGCCACAATCATTTAATTAATTACGAACTTGCTCACCACTGTGTACCCACCATCTAGTATACAGAAGACACTCAAAAATATTTGCTGACTGACTGATTGACTTCTTGCCTTTTGGGGCAAGAATTGAATTTAATCCTAGTTGTATGAGTTGAATTCACTTTGAATCTGTGATAAACTATTACTTATTTCCTAAAGATGAGTGATTTTCAGTTTGGTTTGTTTGTTTTTAAAAGTTGCATGCAGGCCGGTCGCAGTGGCTCATGCCTGTAATCCCAGCACTTTGGGAGGCAGAGGCAGGCAGATCACCTGAGGTCAGGAGTTCTAGACCAGCCTGACCAACATGGAGAAACCCCATCTCTACTGAAAATACAAAATTAGCTGGGCGTGGTGGCGCATGCCTGTAATCCCAGCTACTTGGGAGGCTGATGCAGGAGAGTCGCTTGAACCCAGGAGGCGGAGGTTGCAGTGAACTGAGATTGAGCCATTGCACTCCAGCCTGGGCAACGAGAGCAAAACTCTGTCTCAAAAAAAAAAAAGAAAAGGAAAGAAAAAGAAAGAAAAAAAAAAAGAGTTGCATGCATCACGCCTGAAATCCCAGCACTTTGGCAGGCCAAGGTAGGCGGATTATTTGAGCTCAGGAGTTGAGACCAGCCTTGGCAACATGGCGAAACTCTGTCTCTACAAAAAATGCAAAAAAAAAAAAAAAAAATTAGCTGGATGTGGTGGCACACACCTGTTGTCCCAGTTATTTGAGGGGCTGAGGTGGTAGGATCACTTGAGCTCAGGAGGTCGAGGCTGCAGTGAGCCAAGATTGCCACCCAGCCTGGGTGACAAAGTGAGACCCTGTCTCAAAAAAAAAAAAAAAAAAAAAAATTTGCATGCAGGAGTTTAGGAGTAAAAAGAAAGAGCTATAAAGATTTTGTGTGTGGGCACACCTGTGACACTTCAGACCCAGGTGACCCAATGTGGCCTAAGATGGGGAGAGGCCTCTTCTCCCTATCTTTAATTAAAACCAGTCTGTGACAACTGAAGCTTCAAATAGCTTTGCAGGCAGGGACATGGGTTCAGAAAGAGCCACAGCCAGAAGCGAGTAGTAATGGTAGACAAGACCAACAGATGGAGTAGTTTACTAGCACGTACGAGGACTTTGGTCAGTCCCAGAAAGCAAACAGAAGACAGGAGTGGGACTAAGGTCCAGCAATCAAGCTCCAAGCCAACTGATTCACTCTCATTTCAGCATTTGATATTACCGTGAGCTTATTATCTCTCCAGGACCACTAGAGCCTGGACACTCTAGTTAATACAAAATAATTACATATACCTCCTAATAGAAGTTCGTATAAAGCCTGAGTTATGATTCTACTAGTGCGTCTCTATCCCGGCACTAACCTTTTCCATATTTGGTTTCATGAGTTTCATGCAGGGCCCAGTCAAAATTATTCGCACAGATAGATTCCACATAGGCACGACTTGTCGCATAAAATAGGAGGCTTTCTTCTTCCTTCAACTGTGATTTCTTCCTAATATAGGAAACGTGAGACTTAACACTGAGACATCCCCTTCCCACTCCAGTTCATAACATTAATCCCAGCTAAAGTCTAATCATCTAAAAATCTCATTCCATCTGCTTTCACAGTGGAGCTACTAACTTTAAGGCAGCAGCTGTACAATAATAAATTTATGAAAACTTTCAAAAGATAGACACATGAAATCATTGAATTGTAAAACAGTAAGGCTGAGAGAGAGAAGCCGGAGTTGATACAATGAAAGAAAAAGACTAGAGCCTGAAGGAACTGTTGACTATTAAAATAAATCAGTGAATATAAATCTCAAAGGACGGATGTTAACTAATCCTTTCCAGTTTTATGCAAAGAAACATGATAACGTGGCCACCAACCGTATAAATTTATCCAGGAGCTCTAGGTTCTCGATCTTCTTTATCTTTTCAATCTTGAAATTCTTCATGGAAGCTTTAAAATGCTCACTTACTTTGACATATTCCGGATGTAGATGATGGATCTCTGATAACTAATAAAGTTTAAAAATATATATTTGTGAAATAGGTAACATTTAAAGCATGATACATCCACATATGTTTCCCTCTATGCCATGAAGTATTGTTACCAGGGTTCTTTCTAACAGCAGATAGGATGAGCTGGCTCAGGGTTCCCACATCTGCCAATTCATTCCCGTCATTAACCAGACAGGCAGCGGGCCTGTCTGTCCAGGCCAACTGAAAGCTAGCAAAGCACCATGCCTAAGGGAAAAGGGAAGTCCCCAGCAGTATGATTTAGTCCAGTAACCTCTTCCCAATGCGGGGCAAGAGGAATTGAGGTGCCATGCAGTCCAAGTAGACCAGCCTGCACAAAAGCTGAAGCCAGCATGGGGAGGCTAAGCTATCTAGGAAAAGTTGTGTTCCAACTAGGTTAAGTGACAAAGTGAGGCACAGTTTGTTGGACTCCCATAGAAACTTGTTAATTGTAACTAACGGACAAGTCACTTTTACTTCGTGAGTTCTAGTTTTCTCGTCCATAAAACAGATGTTAATATTCATCTCATATGACTGTTGTGAGGATCTGCCCAAATGAGACTGTGTGTGGCTGAACTCTGGAAACAGTGAGGTGCCCTATGGCACTTAGGTGATCTCTGGGAAAGAGAACCATTAGATGTCTGCCTTCCAACCTTGATCTAAGAGTGTTTTGTTGTTGTTGTTGTTGTTGTTTGTTTTTTGGAGACGGAGTCTCGCTCTGTCACCCAGGCCAGAGCTCAGCGGGCAGGAGTGCAGTGGCGTGATCTCAGTTCACTGCAACCTCTGCCTCCCGGGTACAGGCGATTCTCCTGTCTCAGCCTCCCAAGTAGCCGGGACTATAGGCACACGCCGCCATGCCCAGTCAATTTTTTTGCATTTTCGGTAGAGACGGGATTTCACCGTGTTGCCCAGGCTGGTTTCGAACTCCTGAGCTCAGGCATTCCACCTGCCTCGGCCTCCCAAAATGCTAGGATTACAGGTGTGAGCCACTGCACCCGGCCGATCTAAGAGTTTTGCAGGAGCAATTCATTCATCCAGACACACACACACACTTGTAGCAAAGTACTTTTTCTAACTTTTAATGTATTCATCCACCAAACATGTAAAAACCAAGTACCTTATATTTATTTGAGGATAGGAAGCAAAGGTCCTCCTGAGGAAGAAAGGTCGCAGTTAAAGACACTGACGAGGTCTGTGCTGGCTGACGGCTACAAATAAAGAGAAAGAAATCACTTAACTCTCTGCTCCACAGGTCCAAGTGACCTTTTCTCTTAACTTCCAGCCACTAGGCCAAGGATGCCTAGAGAAATACACAATATTTATTTCTGTATTTTTGTCTGGACTACATCCTCGCATATTCCTGGTATAGATGTACCAGTAATCATGTCTTTTAAAAATGCTGCAACTATTCATAATCGGTCAATTAAATGCCATTTTCCTATTGATTTAAAATGTAAAAACATCTTTTTCATATTTCGGCTCAACTTTCAAAGGTCCTAATGTGTTAGCATTAAGCAAATGTGTCTTACAGCTTCTTGGTCAAAGGATAAACAATTAAATATATTAGGAATTTAGAGGAAAGAATTCTGCCTTTCCAGTACGAACTATATTTCAGGGTAACCATACCTGAGAAATAATTCTTTTTTTTTTTCTATTCCATAGAACCTAAAGCTACCAGAAAAATTCTTCTTTATAGATGAATCGCACTAATAGCTGCAAAAGAGTTGATAGAATTAGAAAACCACCATTTGGCAATACCTAATGACATCATGGTTCTAAACAATCATTATCACTAGCTACTAAAACCATTAAGTGAAAGATTAGATGAATAGTATAGTGGAATGATCAGACTGGAATGTCCTGAACCTACTCTGTGATCTCCATCACTAAAAATAGGACAATCAGACACTATATATCTCCTCAGAAGATGGGACAGGATCACTGGTACAAAGCCATCAATTGTATAGTATACTTGACTCAAAACTGAACCTAAATCTAATCAGTTCTCTAAATCTAATGGTCAATTTATAGAAATTACACATCATATGACCCCACAAGGAAACAATTTGCTAATTTGTTTTGAGACAGAGTTTCACTCTGTCACCCAGGCTGAAGTCCAGTGGTGTGATCATGGCTCACTATATCCTCAGCCTCCTGGGCCCAAGTGATCCTCCCACCTCAGCCTCCCAAAGTGCTAGGATTCTAAGCGTGAGCCAGCCTGCCAGGTCAATTTGCTATATTTTGAATTTGGAAAATTCTATAGGTCAAATCACCTAGTTGTTGTTTTTATTGTTGTTTTGTTTGTTTGTTTGTCGGTTTTTTGAGACAGAGTCTCACTCTGTTGCCCAGGCAGTCGTGCAAACACAGCTCAACCTCCTGAGCTCAAGCGATCCTCCCACATCAACCTCTTGAGTAGCTGGGACCACAAGTGTGTACCACCACACTTGTCTAACTTTTTAAAAAGTTTTTGTAGAGATGGGGTCTCACCATGTTGCCCAAGAGGGTTTTGAACTCCTGGGCTCAAGCAATCCTTCTGCCTCGGCCTCCCAAAGTGCTGGGATTATAGGCATAAGCCACCACACTAGGCCTATCTAGTTTCTTAAAAAATGAAATTGCATGAAAAAAGTAGAGGAGGGGAAACTGTAGCAGACTAAAAGATGTTTATGACACAAATCAACCAAATGCAATGTACAGACCCTGCTTAGATACTGATTGCAACACATCAACTCTAAATAGTCATTGTTTAAGACAATTGGAAAACATAAAACGTGAACTGGGTATTAGATGATATTAAGGAATTATCATTAACTTTGTTACATAGGTTAATGATATTGTATAATGTTTTTTAAAACCTCTTACCTGTTAGGAACACACCTAATACATATACAGGGAAATGATAACATGTATTGGATTTACATTAAAATATTCCAGCAAAAGAAAAAAAGTTAGGCCAGGTGTGGTGGCTCATGCCTATAATCCCAGCACTTTGGGAGGCCGAAGCAGGAGGATTGCTTGAGCTCTGAAGTTCAAGACCAGCCTGAGCAACATGGTGGGACTCCCCCACTCATCTCTAGAAACATTTTTTAAAAATTATCCAAGTGTGGTGGTGCATGGCTGTAGTCCCAGCTACTCGGGAGGCTAAGGCATGAGGATCACTTGAATCTGGGTGGTTGAGGCTGCAGTGAGCCACGATGGCACCACTGCACTCTAACCCGCATGCAGAGTTCCATTCTTTCTCAAAGAAAAAAAAAAGTTGAGAGGTGATGGTAGTAACAATATTGTTACTACTACCACAAATCTGTTACAAAGATAGTAAAATATTGACAGTGTTTAAGTTAGATGACAGGTACACAGGGGTTTGTCATCAATTCTTTGTACTTTATGTTTGAAATTTTCCATGATCAAAACAATTATATTTTTAAAAATAAATGCTTGAAGGAAAAAACTCTTTCAAGAAGAAGACAACTCATTAGAATGACAAAGATTGGCCCCAATTTATCTCTATTTTAAGGTCAGGTTTCCATTCTGGATTTGTATAACGCGGGATAGATTGCATGAATATGTTGTAAACTCTCATGAACAGTGACGTGTGCTATAGTTCACTTCTATATCCCACTGTAGTCCAGGATAGTACGCCAGCCCTTATTCTATCCTACAGCAAGTGTGTCTCCTTGGGCTGGTGAGAGCAGGATTAAAGTTGGTTCTCTGCATGACCCACTCCCTCCAACCCTCCCTCACTAACATGTTTTTCTCAATTTTTTTTTTTTTATTCATGTGGCTATTTATTATCACTATGTGCCATGCATTATACAACATATTCCAAGACAGCCTGGGCAACATGGAGAAACCATGTCTCTATTTAAAAATACAAAAATGAGCCAGGTGCAGTGGTGTGCACCCATAGTCCTAGCTACTTGGGTGGCTGCAGTGGGAGGATCACCTGAGTCCGAGAGGTTGAGGCTGCAGTGAGCTGTGATTGCCTCACTGCACCCCAGCAACCTAACCCCCCAACCGAAAAAAAAAAAAAACCACCAAAATATTTCGAGAGCTCTGAGGAGCTGATAATTGAGATTGGTGGGCAGGGAGAAGGGAAGAGGAAGGAAGGTTGTGCTAGAGACATTTACACGAGTAACTGTATTACAAGGTAGAAGTGGGTAAGTACTATAAGGGAATCTCGAGTGTTCCTGGAGGGCACAGGAGAATTGGAGGAGAGTCACGAGGAATGTTATAGTACGGGAAGGTGGCATTCCAGCTAAATCATGAGGGATGCTGTATTCATCTGAATGATGGGAAGGAGTATTTCTGGAAAGGGGAAGAGCAAATGGAGAAGCATGAAGCAACTCTGACATATGGAAGTTCTCGAGATTGACAGTGGCTGACTACAGGAGCTCTCTGGAAATGCCACACACCAGTTTTTTCCCCTAGAAATATACGTGCACAGAAAGAACCATCCAGCTTGGAGTCAAGGTCTTCTATACTTTCCATAGTTCCTACTGTCCAGAAGGGCCATAAAGCATGGTCTCACTAGTTGAGACTAATTGGGAATATCTGAATTGTTAAAAAATCAAAATTACCGGAACTTTAAAAAAAAAAAATAGGCAGCTTTGTTGCTTTAAGGAAAGACAGTTGCAACACACTATTGTGAAGACATCCTGCCAGAACCATTGTAACAAATGGAAAGCAGCTCTGATGATCTCATTCATTGGCTGAATGTGAACAGCTCCTCCCCAGCCTCCTACTCTGCCTTTTCTTCCCCCACCTAACATTTGTCAGGAACTGAAACAGTTATTGCCTCATCCACCAGAATGTAAGCTCCTGTAAGGGCATGAGCTTCACTCCTCTCTTCCTGAAACCCTGAAATATTCTTTTTACTTTATTCATTTGAATATTTAAACTACAGAAAGGGGCCAAGCGCAGTGGATAATGCCTGTCATCCCAGCACTTTGGGAGGCCAAGGCAGGTGGATCACCTGAGGTCAAGAGTTCGAGACCAGCCTGGCCCTCATGGTGAAACCCCGTCTCTACTAAAAATACAAAAATTAGCTGGGCATAGTGGCGGGCGCCTGTGGTCCCAGCTACTCAGGAGGTTTAGGCACGAGAATCACTTCAACCAGGGAGGCAGACGTTGCAGTGAGCTGAGATCATACCACTGCACTCCAACCTGGGCAACAGAGTGAGACTCTGTCAAAAAAAAAAAAAAAACTTGCTGGAAGGGACTTTAGATAGCTACATCAATCAGATTCTAATTCTTGGGAAATCAACTTGAGAAATTCAGAGAAAATTAGGCAGTTAGTGGCAGAAGATAAGGCTGAAGGGATACGCAGGTTGGAATTATGAATTAGAATTAAGTCAACTTAATTATATATAGTTACTAAGTCTATTAATAGCAGGGGAATAAAAATAATAATAACCAGAAGAGTTTACATTTACTGAACACCTGATGAGTGTTTGGAATGTGTTACCCAAGCAGCCGTGAGGAAGGTATTATTATTATAATTTTTTTTTTTTTTTGGAGATGGAGTCTTGCTTTGTCGCCCAGGCTGGAGTGCAGTGGCACAATCTTGGCTCACTGCAAGCTCCACCTCCCGGGTTCACGCCATTCTCCTGCCTCAGCCTCCCGAGTAGCTGGAACTACAGGCGCCCGCCACCACGCCTGGCTAATTTTTTTGTATTTTTAGTAGAGACAGGGTTTCACCGTGTTAGCCAAGATGGTCTTCATCTCCTGACCTCGTGATCCGCCTGCCTCGGCCTCCCAAAGTGCTGGGATTACAGGTGTGAGCCACCGCACCCGGCCAAGGTAGGTATTATTATTAAGCCCATTTTACAGACAAGGATATACAGAGTGATTCATTTGTCCAAATCCACATAGCTAATGGGTGGCAGGGTGGAATCTGAACCTAGGTGAGCTAGATCCAGCGTCCAGGCTGTTAATCTGGTCCCAAGAAAGAATCTTTGACTCTAGGCTGCTCCAGTTCGAAAGCAGAATTGGAAGCAGCTCCCCTTCCTGAGGCCCTGATACAGCTCAGTTTCCATTCTTAGATTCTTGCGAGTTGTTTTCCATATGACCTCAGAGTTATTTATCTTTTCAGTAACTTCCCTTTTTCATCAAATAGCTTGAATTCTTACAACCAAAGAACCTAGTTAGAACGCCTTGATTTTATACTTCTCTTGAAGCCTATTTTATATAATCACACATCACCCAGAAAAAAATATCCAACTCCAAAAATGTTCATGAACAATGTAGAGTTTACTGAGCAGTTCACAAGGAGAGTTACAACGAATCCCCCACAGCAACATTTCCTTTAAAATCCCTTCAATCAACATTATCTGTCTTCGAAGCCTTTGCTCTAACAGCTAGCTCATCCCTTTTTTCTCTCTCTCTCCGTCCCTCATCCTCTATAAATCATGTAGGAAAACAAGACACCCAAAAGGATTCACAGCAAAGCCAGGCACGGTGGCTCACGACTGTAATCCCAGCACTTTGGGAGACGGAGGTACGAGGATCGCTTGAGCTCAGGAGTTCGAGACCAGCCTGGGCAACAAAGTGAGACCTCATCTCTAAAAAAAAAAAAAGAATCCACAGCAAAACAAAAACCTAGTACATATGATTATTCCTTAGGCATGCCACATCAATCCAGCTCTTCACAGCTGGAGAAGCTAAAGCCCAGAGTATTTAAGAGACTTGCTCAGACTTCCCTTTCAGAAAGAAAATTCATTTTCTGATCTAGTATCCTTTCAGTCACACCACGCTGCTTAACAAGCATCTTACTCATAGAGAATGCAAATGGAAACTGCAGAGTAATGCAAGCAGGAACTTTTCAGGGAAACAGGCTCCAGATTCACGAGTGACTTGGTGAGCCCAGGGCATGACCATCTCAAGCATCTGTCAGCAAACAGCTGCTTCAGAACACTTACTCTGGCCCTCTCTTCATCTGCTGCACATCCCACTGAGACACAAATTTTGGTCTTCTGATGACATCCTTTTGAGTTTTGGAAGCTTTGTTTGTCTGAATCATCCCTTTGGACAGAAAAAAATAAAAGAATCAAGATCAGTTCTAGAAAATGACTTCTTGTTATTTTGCAGAGGCTATTTACACAGCAAATATTCGAGACTGACCCGTTTGTATATGAATAGAGAAAATCCTTTGGGATGAGAATTGCTTGCAGTAAAAGACTTGTATCCTTCACTGCCATTAGTAGAAGGCTCAGAAAGCAAAGGAGTGAATGAATATTCAGGAATTAATCTAATCTTTAAATCCAAGTTGCGTGGTAAAAGAGGAGAGATGGGGCAGCCAAATAACAAGACACCATCCTTGCAAGCTTCCCTGCACCAGACATCAGTGACTGCGGGTTGGAATCTGGTAGCTGTCTTGAAGGGTTCTCTTCTACATCAAGTGTGAAATATCATTTTCAATTCATGCTGTAAACCTCAGTCCAAACTGCAACCAGAGTGATCCCTTCAAAAAGTAAATCATAATACATTGCTAGTGAGAGTGTAAAATGAAACCACCACGTTGGAAAACAGTTTGGTGGCTTCTTATACAGTTAAACATGCACTCCTATATGATTTAGCAATCCCATTTCTAGGTGTTTACCCAAGAGAAATGAAAACCTCTATCCACCCAAAGACATGCATATGAATGTTCACAGCAGCATTACTATGATAACCAAAAAGTAGAAATAACCTAAATGTCCATCAGCTGGTAAACAAAGTATGGAATAGCCTTACAATTACTTATTACTTATTCCTCAGTAATAAAAGAGGAACAACTACTATACATGCAGCAACGCGGATGAGTCTAAAAAACATTATTCACAGTGAAAGAAGTCAGCCACATGCAACAACATACCTACTGCAAGCATTTATTAATATCAAGTTCTAGAACAGGTAAAACAGGGACAGAAAGCAAATCAGCAATAGCCTGTGAAGGGGATAAAGTGAGGTGTATATGATGTTGCTGGGGAGACTGATTGCAAAGAGACGTAAGGAAACTTTTGGGATTGATGGAAATGTTCTATATCCTGCTTAGGGTGGCGGTTACATGCATTTGTCAATACTCATCCAACTGCACTCTTAAAATAGGAAACAGACATAAACCACACACACACACACACACAAAAATAGGATCATGCCACAACACTGCTCAAAATCTTCCCAGGGCCTCCGCCTAATAAAATATCCAAGTTTCTATCTCTGCTCTCATCTCTTACAGACCATCTACCTGTTCTGCGAAACTTCAAGCTGGTCTGTACCTTCCAGCCTTAGCCTTAGTTCTTCCTTCTCCTGGAGCGCCCTCCTTCCCACAGGCAGAGGCTGCTCTATAAAAGTAAGTGCTATCCCACTGACTCCTCCATTCTCTGGCTGCTTCCTGGCACTGTTTCATTTTCTCAGCAACTGTTACCACTTTTTGATATGGCCCGACTTGTTTACTTGATCATTGTCTCTCATCACCCTTTTGAATATAGGCTCGAAGAGCAACTTCACCACTGTATCCCAGCACCCACAGCAGTAGCCAGTACACAGCTGGCACTCAGATACTAGCTTAATGCATTACAGAATACACTGGCAGTCTAGTTAAGAAATAGACAAAGGCGGCTGGGCGCAGTGGCTCACGCCTGTAATCCCAACACTTTGGGAGGTTGAGGCAGGTGGATCAAGAGGTTAGGAGTTCGAGACCATCCTGGCTAACACGGTGAAACCCCATCTCTACTAAAAATACAAAAAATTAACCAGGCGTGGTGGCACACAGCTATAGTCCCAGCTACTTGGGAGGCTGAGGCAGGAGAATCGCTTGAACCTGGGAGGCAGAGGTTGCAGTGAGCCAAGATTGCACCATTGCACTCCACCCTGGCGACAAAGCAAGACACCATCTCAAGAAAAAAAAAAGAAAAAAGAAAAGAAAAAGCCCTCTGGAACACTATAAACTGCTCTGAACTGGTTTATATGAACCAATCAAACAGAAGTAGCTGGAAAAATTACTCTAGATTCAGGAACAAAGTCTATTGGCTCTCATCTCTCCACCACCCTTTTAAACCATAAAAACAATACAATACCACCTAAGAATTGTTTGTAATTTAAGTCATTTTTAATTCTACCACCCAATATAATAGATTTTAATTTTTCATTATTATCTTCCAGTCTTGGCCCACATGCATGCATTGCTGCAATCATGCACATTGATTTTTGGTTTTTTTTTTTAACTTTCCTATTTTAAATATAAACAGAAAATTTCAGAAACATAAATTTGGGGTTCTGGCTGAGCACTATGGCTCATGCCTGTAATCCCAGCATTTTGGGAGGTTGAGGTGGGAGGATCGCTTGAGCTCAGGAGTTTAAGATCAGCCTGGGCAACATAGTGAGACCCCCATCTCTACAAAAAATTTAAAAATTAGCTGGGCATGGTGGCATGCACCTGTACTCCCAGTTAGTTGGGAGGCTGAGGTGAGAGCTTGAGCTGGGGAGGTTGAAGCTGTAGTGAGCCGTGATGGTGCCACTGCACTCTAGCCTGCGTGATGGAGCGGGACCCTGTCTCAAAAAAAAAAAAAAAAAGCGTTTTGCCTTTTTCATTTAACAATACCAAATTTTGCTTTTCCTATCTGGTTTTCATATCTAAATCTTTAACAAGTGCCAAATACGCCACTGAAATTTAATACCCTAGTTTATTTAGTCACCACTGTACTGGTACACAGACTGGTCCTACTTTTAGTACTGTAGGTACTGGTATTGGTCTAGTATTCTTCAGTCACACCATGCTGCTTAACAAGCACCTTACTTTATGCCTATAGCTTTTTCCCCCCTTCTTCTAGTGAATTATTTCCTAAGAAAGGCTCCTGAGGGAATGAAAAGACAAACATATTAGCAAATTTTAATGTTACTTGACAGGTACTGCCAGACTGTTTTTCCAAATACTTGGTATAATGGTCCTTGTAAAAGCTACATCATCTAATGCCCACTAAGTGGTACAGGATCCAACTGCAGGTACCATCTGGGAATTCAGGGACCTAAGAAAGGCTCCTTTACCTCTTCCAAAGCACCTGCAGGTCCCAAAAGGGCAAGTACTTGATCATGTGCAGGGGGTGCCTGATGGGATGGTACCTTCAGAAGGAGGGCAGTTCCTGCCCTGATATCTAACTAAACACAGCAGGTAGATTGGCAGCAGCTCACCGGAAGACCTTTCTACAGTGGCTCCAATAAACATGGTGGAAGGCAAAGTACTTTAATCAATATGATGATGGAACCACTGACCTAGACGATAAAGCCTAAAAGAAACAGCAAGTTTTTAAAACTCTGAAGGTATCCAAAAGCCCAAGGCCTCTACTGTAGTCACCAGCACCTGAAATATTGCCTCTGTCTGGGCATCTGCCCAGCCAGAATCAGAAACAGCATAGCAGAGCTGGAAGTACCCCCAAGACTACTTAGTCTGAGCTCCTGAATTTGCAGTTGAGAGAAGTGGGCCTAGATAGGCCAGGTGCCCCTCCTAGGGGAGCAGAGCAAGTGTTCGTCAGAGCCAGAGCTCTAGAACTCAGGTCTCCTGATGGCCATAGCTTGCACTCCCCCGCCTTGCTAAATCTTGACCTTGACCCTGGCCATAGCAATGCATACCCACTCTGCTCCCACTCCCACGTGTGCACTGCAGGCGGATTTCAATGACGCACCACACTGCCAAACACAGAAACTCACCTTGGAAACTCAGCTCATAGTTCCGTGAGCCCGCCTGAAATTGCACAACTCCCCTCGGATAGGATTGATAGAGTGACTCCAGGTATAAAGAGTCGATGTTTGAACTTTTCTGATTGTCTTTCTAATTGGAAAAAAAAATAAAAGGTAAAGAGTTCAGGGTAGGTTTTTAGGAAATCTCTACTGTTACATGATTTCATTTTAGTAACGGGATGTGAACAGGAGTGCATTTTGCTTCCCAAACCAGATTGTAAGAGCTTCCAGCTCAGGGCTATGTCACAAACTTCTGTGGTCTTCTCCATCATAGTACCTAAGAGTCTATCCTGCAGAAACTCACTACACGCTTGGGGGATGCCTGAAAAATGTAGCTTTTTGCAATACTCTTTTACAGCAGCCAAATGTATAGAGCAACTTGCATCTCCTCTTTTGTGATGCTGCATCGGCATCTGCCATCTAACAGAATCTGACACTGACTCTTACATGAAATAGAACATTGTGGGCTATTCTAGCCACGCACAGTTTACAGTTGTCATGAGGGGAAGTAAAGAAAGACCATCTGCTCCTCGTCCAAACTCCAATAGTTGCAGTGTTCAAATATAAATAACCGAACCCTCTCCTCTGTCCTGAACCAGAGTAAGCAAATAAAATTGGCCAAGCCTCCTGCTAGCCAGCTAACTGAAAATGCACTTGGATTTGCCACTAACAGGAGCTATAATGAAAGGGATGAGGCGGCTGGGTACTGTGGCTCACGCCTGTAATCCTAGCACTTTGGGAGGCTGAGGTGGGTGGATCACGAGGTCAAGAGATCACGACCATCCTGGCCAACATGGTGAAACCCTGTCTGTACTAAAAATTCAAAAATTAACCGGGCGTGGTGGCGGGTGCCTGTAGTCCCAGCTACTCGGGAGGCTGAGGCAGGAGAATCACTTAAACTTGGGAAGC